TGTAGAACTCCTATCACCCAATCCCCGCGTGGCTGCGAAGGGCAACGCCATGTTTGTTCTGCCTGCAGAGCCAGCCCACTCCCCTATCCTAACCCCCTTGGTTGTCTCACCTGTCTCTCCTTGCTCGGTCCCTGGGTTTTTACTGGGTGTTAATCTCCTGTCCCCTCTCGTTGGCTAACCGAGTAGCCAAGTCCCTCCCTTCCTCCCAGCAGCCTTAATAAGCTGTGGGAAATTTAAATAAACTTCTCTTTGCCTCTGAACTGCCTGCGTGCTGTATGTCTTTGCAGCTAGCCAGCACCAGGACTTGCTGTGCAGCAGCTCTGTCCCTGCGAGACTGATCGCAGAGAGGGTTTTCTTCACAAACCCTGTCAGGTCTCCATGCAACCTTTTCTTCTCCAGGCTGAACAGCCCCAACTCTCTCAGCCTATCTCTATAGGAGAGGTGCTCCAGTCCTCTTATCGTCTTCATGGCCTCCTCTCAACTTACTCCAACAATTCCATGTCCTTATGTTGGGGGCACCAGAGCTGGACACAGTACTCCAGGTGGGGTCTCACAAGATCAGAGTGGAAGGGGAGAATCACCTCCCTCTACCTGCTACCCACACTTCTGATGCAGCCCAGGATTTTGTTGGCTTTCTGGGCTGTGAACACACACTGACAGCTCATGGTGAGTTTTTCATTAACCATCACCATCAAGTCCTTCTCCTTAGGGTTACTCTCAATCCCTTTTCCACTCAACCTGTAGGTGTGTCTGTGATTGCCACACCCCAGGTGCAGGACTTTTCACTTAGCTTTGTTGAACTTCATGAGGTTTGCATCAGCCCACCTCAAGCCTGTCAAGGTCCCTCTGGATGGCATCTGTTCCTTCCAGCATGTCAACTGCACCACACAGCTTGGTGTTGTCAGTAAATTTGCTGAGGGTGCCCTCAATCCCACTCTCCATGTCATGTCCATGTCCACATTTCCAGATAAAATTAACAGTCTTCCTCCAAATGGCAAATTAAGATTTATTTGTGACTGACGTGGAAAGCAATCTATAAAAATCACTGTTACATTGTCCATGTAGTCAAGCAACACGCAGATGACCTCAAATGATCAGTTCCAGATGTCATGGGTTTGAAAAAAGATGTTGGAATTTTTTCCCAATGTTGCCCCCCCCCTTCCCCCATCTGTTTCTTCCAGGATGGGGGTGGAGGCGAATCTGAGCAGAGCCACATGTGTGGGGCAGCGCAGGAACAGGGAGAGGAAAGTCTCGCGGGAAAGCACAGAGGTGGTGGGGATAGCTGGGAAGTCCTTTGTTCGGGGGCATTTGGGGGTTTTGGTCCGGGACCTGACAGAGCAGGAGCTCGGTTTTTGGCCACCTCGTTCTCTTTTCCTGAGAGGAAGTTTTTTCCCCATGGGACACCTCATGGAGGATGACTGAGAGAGAGACACCGACCCATCTCAGAGCGAGGCATTCTGCTTTTCAAGACTGCCTGTGGGAAAAGGACTTGTTTTTTTTCATTGCTGACTGCAAGCAGCTTCCTGAATTTCCAGGACACTCCTGCCTTTTCCGCCACCCCTCCCCGGGTTGCCGCGGGTTTTTCCCTCCCCCACCCGGGGATTTGGGACTTTGTTTTGTTTCCTCTGAAAGTTTTTGATTGCACCATTTGTTGTTTATTCAGATTTTTGTTAATAAAAAGTTGTTTCTTTTCCTTTCCCACACTTCCACCTGAAGTCTCTTAATTTTTAAGTTATAATCTTATTAAACTAAGACACCAGCCTACACCTTCACAGCTCTTCTACCAGTCTTCTTCAGAAGAGTCTAGACCACTCGATTGTATTTAGCAAACTGATGGAAGAGTTGTAATCCAAGATCCAAGCTCTTGCACTCACACAGAGTTCTTCTACATGAGAAATTTCAATTCTCAAATTTCAAGAACCCCATGTTCCACTTGCAAGCACACAACCAGATCATGTATTGCTAGGTTTACTTTTGAATTCCCATCTAAATGGAGGGAAAGGTAGGAAGTGGTGCTGATCTGAGAGTGTACCCACATTGGTTTAAAGTTGTATTTAAAACACATGGAACCTGGACTCTTCTCTCCAGTGTCTCTCTCAAACCTAGGAAATTCAGTAGGTTCCACTGCTCAATGCAATACTCGTTTTGCTTTTAAATAGGGATAGTGCTGAATGGTGTTTGGGAAAGACTAGCAAGGATTGTTGTGGAACCCTCAAGGCTTCCATTGCTCAAATGCTCCATTACCAACTCATCTCTGAGCATAGCCAGCCTTTGACATTACTACTGGCCAAAGCTCACAACTTTTGCCTTTTGAACACAGAGTTAGAGTTTAGCTCATAACCCTATGATAGCAGTTTTTTCATAATCCACCAAATATGCAAAAGAGAAAAAAGTCTGTGGAGAAAGACAGTAGCAGCAGAGGTGACAGCGGCAACCAAGGTAAGCCCAGGGTTTGAGCTTTAGAATCAAGCTGCGCAGGGTGGTTCCCGAGCCCAAGGACACCCAAGCAGCATCCCTGTCCCCCACCTGGACCTGGCAGCTCTCGGCAGCCAATTAGGTGAGCAAGGGGCTTTGCCAGGACCATCTGCAGGAGATTTAAATAGCACTAGGGCACATGAGCAGCCTGGAGTGTGGCGTGGCAGTTCGAGTAGGAAGGGTACAGCCACCCTCCCAGCTTCTGGTGATGGGCTGTGTGTTAGGTGTGGGTGTGGTGAGATCTTTTGTTGGGGTTTTTTTTTGGGGGGGTGTTTGGGTTTTTTGGGTCTTTTTCCCAACTTGACTAGATCCAGCAATGGTTTACAAATGGTCAAAAGCCATTGCTGCTGCTGCTAGCAGGAGTGTGGTGACCCAGACAGAACTCCCCAATAAGCACGCAGCTGTCCAGGTCACTGGCTGAGGGGAGTGTTTGAGCATGGTGTTAGTATTGGACAGTGCAAAAGACACCTGCGCGCAGTGTGAACAGATGAATGAGCTTCTCTGTCTAGAGCAACTTAAGGAAGAAGTGGAAAAGCTAAGGAGTATTGGAGTATTAGGGAGAGCAAAAGGGAAATCGACTGGTGGAGTTACACCCTTCCAACCTTGAGAGAAGCTCAGCAGGAGTCAGAGAAACCCCACCCCTCTAGCCATCAGGCAGAAGGAGGAGACCTAGTAGATGGGGGGGAATGAAAATGGGTCCCTGCTTGGGGAGGTAAAAGGATCCCCTCCTGACCCCCATCGCCTTCCCAGGTGCCCTTACAGAATAGATACGAGGACCTGGATCTAGACGGTCAGACAGATGACACTAGAGAAAAAAATCAATCTGGAGGGCCTCCCAGTTGCACTCTGTCTGTCAGACGGATCACAACCTCAGGTATAAGAAGAAAAGAAGGGTAGCTGTAGTAGGTGACTCCCTTCTGAGGGGAATTAAGGGTCCTGTATGCTGACCAGACCCATCCCACAGGGAAGTCTTCTGCCTTCCTTGGACCAGGGTAAGGGATATTACCAGGAGACTCCCTGGACTAATCTGGCCCTCTGATTATTACCTGCTGCTGGTTGTCCAGGTTGGCAGTGATGAGGCTGATAAGAGGGGTACCAGGGTAATCAAAAAGGCCTTTGAGGCTCTGGGTTGATTGCTTGATGGGACGGGAGCACAGGTGGTGTTCTGCTCAATTCCTTCAGTAGCAGGGATGAATGATGAAAGGAACAGGAAAGCCCATGTTATCAATAAATGGATTAAGGACTGGTGCCATCAGTGGAACTTTGATTTTTTTGATCATGGGGCAATTTTTATGGCACCAGGCCTGCTTGAGTCAGATGGGCTTCATCTATCTAGCATGGGCAAAAGGATTATAGCCCAAGAGTTGGCAGGGATGATTGAGAGGGCTTTAAACTAGGTTTGAAGGGGGAAGGGGATAAAACCAGGCTCTGCAGAGATGAGCGTAAGGGTGGTAAGCCAGAGTTAGGGGTGAAATCAGCAACCCAGCTGAAGTGCATGTACACCAATGCACACAGTAAGGGTAACAAACAGGAGGAACTGGAAGGCATTGGGCAGCAGGAAAGCTATGATGTAGTCACCATCACAGAAACGTGGTGGCATGACTGGAGTGCTGCCATGGATGGCTACAAGCTCTTCAGAAGAGACAGGTGAGGTAGGACAGGTGGAGGGGTGTCTCTGTATCTTAGGGAGTCTCTTGATTCTATAGAACTTGAAGTTAATGGCGATAAGGTTGAGTGCCTATGGGTAAGAATCAGCGGGAAGGTCAACAAGGCCAACGTCCTGGTTGGAGTCTGTTTCAGACCACCCAACCAGGATGAAAAGGTAGATGAATTATTCTACAAGCAGCTGGTGGATGTTTCAAGATTGCCAGCCCTTGTTCCTATAGGAGACTTTAACCTGCCAGATGTCTACTGGGAACTCAACACAACGGAGAAGAGGCAGTCTAGGAGGTTCTTGGAGTGTATGGAGGATAACTTCTTGTTGAGCCTACCAGGGGTGGGGCCTCACTAGACCTACTGTTTACAAACAGAGAAGGGCTGGTGGTAGATGTGGTGGTCAGAGGCCACCTGGGGTACAGTGACCATGAAACGATGGAGTTTTCAATACTCAGTGAAACAAGGAGAGGCATCAACAAAACCTCTACCCTGGACTTCCGGAGGGCAGACTTTGACCTCTTTAGGAGGCTGATTCAGAGAGTCCCTTGAGAAACAGCCCTTAAGAACAAAGGGGTCCAGGAAGGATGGAAATACTTCAAGAAAGTAATCTTGAAGGTGCAGGATCAGGCTGTTCCTATGTGCCAAAAGATGAGTTGGCAGGGAAGATGACCAACCTGGCTGGGCAGAAAGCTTTTGCAGGAACTCAAGGAAAAGAAGACCTTTCACCTTTGGAAAAGGGGGCAGGCAACTCATTAAGTGTTTAAGAATGTCCTTAGGTCATGCAGAAAGGAAATTAGAAAGGTGAAAGCTCAATTACAACTTAATCTGGTCACTTCAGTAAAGGATAATAAAAAGTGTTTTTATAAATACATCAACAGCAAAAGGAGGGACAAGGAAAACCTCCATCCTTTACTGGACACAGCAGGGAATGTAGTTGCCAAAGATGAGGGTATTTAACACCTTTTTTGCCTCAGTTTTCATCAACAAGACAGATTGTCCTCAGGACAACTGGCCTCTTGAGCTGGTAGACAGGGTCAGGGAGCTGAATAGCCCCCTTGTTATCCAGGAGGAAACAAATCTATGGGACCAGATGGGATCCATCCTAGGGTGATGAGGGAGCTGGCGGAAGAGCTCATCAAGCCACTCTCCATCATTTCCCAACAGCCCTGGTTCACTGGGGAGGTCTCAGATGACTGGGAGTTTGACAATGTGATGCCCATCCATAAAAAGGGCTGGAAGGAGGATCTGGGAAACTATAGGTCTGTCAGCCTGACCTCAGTGCCCAGCAAGGTTATGGAGCAGATCGAGTGTGACGACACGGCACCTACAGGATGGCTGGGTGATTAGACCCAGCCAGCATGGATTTAGGAAGGGCAGGTCCTGCCTGACCAACCTGATCTCCTTTTCTGACCAGGTGACCCTCCTGGTGGATGAGGGGAAGGTTGTGGATGTGGTCTACCTGGGCTACAACAAAACCTTTGACACCATTTCCTGTGACATACTCCTGTAAAAGCTGGCAACCCACGACTTGGACAGGTGCACCCTTCATTGGGTGAAAAACTGACTGGATGACCAGGCCCAGAGAGTGATGGTGAATGGTGCCGCATCCAGTTGGCAGCCAGTCACTAGTGGTGTCCCCCAGGGATCAGTGTTGGGCCCAGTCCTGTTTAATATCTTTATTGATGATCTGGACAAGGGCATCAAGTCTGCCATTAGCAAATTTGCAGATGACATCAAGTTGGGCGGGAGTGTTGATCTACTGGAGAGTAGGAGGGATCTGCAGAGGGACCTGGACAAGCTGGACAGATGGGCCAAATCCAACAGTATGACATTCAACAAGGCCAAGTGCCGGGTCCTGCACTTTGGCCACAACAACCCCATGGAGCACTACAGGTTGGGAACAGAGTGGCTGGACAGCGGCCAGGCAGAAAGAGACCTGGGGGTGTTGATTGACAACAGGCTGAACATGAGCCAGCAGTGGGCCCAGGTGGCCAAGAAAGCCAAAGGCATCCTGGCCTGGATCAGGAATAGCAAAGTGATTCTTCCCCTTTACTTGGCACTGGTGAGGCCACACCTTGTGTTCAGTTCTGGACCCCTCAATTTAGGAAGGATGTTGAGGTGCTGGAGCAGGTCCAGAGAGGGGTAACGAGGCTGGTGAAGAATCTGGAGCACAAGTCCTATGATGAGCTGCTGAGGGAGCTGAGGTTGTTTAGCCTGGAGAAGAGAAGGCTCAGGGCAGACCTTATCACTCCCTACAACTACCTGAAAGGAGGTTGTAGCCAGGTGGGGGTCAGCCTCTGCTCCCAGGCAAGTAGCAGTAGGACAAGAGGACATAGTCTTAAGCTGTGCCAAGAGAGGTTTAGATTGGGCATTAGGAAGAAGTTCTTCATAGAAAGGGTAATTGGGCACTGGAATGGGCTGCCCAGGGAGGTGGTGGAGTCCCGATCCCTGGTGGTGTTTAAGACTGGATGTGGCACTTAGTGCCATGGTCTAGTAGACAAGGTGGTGTTAGGTCATAGGTTGGACTCAATGATCTCAGAGGTCCTTTCCAACCTAGCTGATTCAGTGATTCTGTGAAAGCCTTTAAATTGGATCAAGTCAGCAAACAGTCACTGAATGCACCCTCGATTTTGCCTTCAATTTAGTTATAATATTGAGTAGCAGTGAAAGATGCCAGTTCTCTAGTTGACTAAAGCATCACTGATCAAATTAACAAACAAACTGAGTCCAGATGCAGGGCATATCCACTTCCTGATCTGCTGACATCCACTGTATAATATGGATGCAAGAGAATTACAGATTGTGTAGACTGCAGGAGTGGAGTCTCCCCTTCCAAGGTAGCCAGCCAGGCAGTGAAGTTTAGCCACAGAGTGATCTTTCTTCAGTGGGCTACAGGTTTGCTTCTTATTATGACTTGATATTTTTCATACTAGGCAAGCAGCTTTGAAATGACTGTTAAAGGTGAACTAGGAAGAAATGGGAGGAAAGTGCTAAAGATTAGAAAACAAAGTTAAACCAATCTGTTCTACTCTGAAAAGTGACTGTGATAAAAACAAGACTTTACCGAATTTGAAGAAACTCTAAAGTTAGCAAGAACTAAAAAAGAGAACTCCAGATTAGGTGTGCACTGGGGTACAGAGAGAACATATGCAGTTAGTACAGGAAATACACATACATTAGAGCTCCATGACCATTTATTAATGTCAATACACTGATGACTAATCATGCTGATTCTAAATACAAAGGTAGTCTCATGGATCAACAGTGTGGTACTGTATTTCAGTTAATCATGTCCATTGAAGACCATAGTAAGTGAAAAAGTGTTCTTGTTTCCATGTTCTTATGAACAAATTAACCTTACAGCTGGGGAGGGACATCTTGTATCAATCACACCATCCTCTATCTGCATAAGAGACAGAAACTTAGCCCAAACTCCAGATGTCAGTTTCAGAACAAAGATATCTTTTGCCAATTCAGAAAACAAAGCAAAATTTGTAGTGTCTTTTTATGAAAAATAAAAATTAACCCCCACACACACTTTTCAGAGAGAAGAAACAATTTACAAGGTAACTGAATGCTGCATCCCATGTGCAGACAGACTGGTTTCACATATCTGCAATTTTGCACTGTTCCATTTGCAAGCTGCGTCAATAACTTTGAACAGTTTTACCTGACAGTAAAAAATGTGCACTGTAATATTTCAAGAGAGCTGTTACTACTTCACTTGACAGCTTCTGTGATAGTTCAGGATCCAGCACTGTTTCTGGCACAGTTCATGAAAGAAACAGCAAGCTGAGAAAAGCTCTGTTAAATGGGTGGAATTGCAAGAGTTGTTAACAAACATCAGACCCTAGATTCAGAGCAAAAACCAACAAGTAGCAGCAAGCCCTGATTTTTTTTTTTTTTCAAAGGCTTTGGATCTTATTAAATATATTTGGGAAAAAAAACATGAAAACCAGTTCACTGTAAGACATCCTGCCCTCAGGCAACAAGTTGTGATCACTGCACATTTTAAAACACCTTGTGTAGTTTGTGCATCATATACATCATAGGCAATGGGGAAGATCCAGTATTTGTGTACACATTAACATACCAGCAAACACTGATAGATGTCACAGGTAAGACTAATACCAAGACAAACCAGTGCATTGATTTCTGTCTCCACCACATCCTAACACAAATGGAACAAGTCACAAATAACAGTACAAACCTGTTGCAACTTCAACACATATATCTTAGAAAAAGACAGTGCATGTACCCAACCCTAAGATGATGAGTTTGTGAGATAACTTTACAAAGATCAAGGTACCAGAAGAGGAAGGCACATTAACCTCTAGTTAGACTGTTTTGGTATTATTTGGATGAGTCAAAGTGATTTCTATACCCTGAGACTGTGAGAGGCCTTGAAAAGGAAAGGAGACCAGGTGAATGGGCAAATAAAAAGTACAAGTTTAATGAGATTTTAAGATTCAGCACCTGAATTTTCCCTTTTAATAAGGGAATCTATAAAAGCAGTTCCTAAGAAAACAATGTATTGACTCCTACATTTTTGTTCTGATGTCAAAGAATCAACATCTAGGACTATAGAGACATCACACACTATGTTGCAATGGTTTTTATACACTCTCTCAGTTTCAGTCCAATTACCAGAATTTGTATACAATCAAGTATACTTGGTGTTTTTTTAAGTTCAGAAATGGTCAGGCAGCCCACATTTTCTCAACTCTGCCGATCGTGGCACCCTGTTTTAGATCTGTGTGCACTTTCTTAGACCACACCACTCTCAGTACGATACTAGAGGGAAAGGCTGTTAGAAAATGGCACTCAATTTTTAATTGGGAAGATTCCTTTCTGTCAAGAGCATTCTTCTAATTAGCCAAGTACCACAAGTACCACATAAAGAAACCCAGCATCACAAGCAAAAAGATACTTCCTAATTTAAATCTTTGAAAATTAACATGGAGAAACAAGAATGACAAGGATATCTACTTGATTCCTCTGAAAATATTTCTGATTAAGCCCTTTCACAAGTACCTCCTGAGCAATGAATAAGTATCCCCCTCTATATTTTTAAATTCCTGGAGTTCCAAGAGCAATACCAAACACTGATGGACTTTCACCATTTCTCTTGTGCCCTTTGTTCATCCTCAACATGCACCAAAGTGCCCACTTCCAGAAGTAAGGGAGAGCATACACAGGAGATTCCTTCAGACAAGATGTGGCCATATTCTCCTTTCCACTCTCCCTTGTCTGCAACACAGACAAATTCCTGGTGCCTATGCTTCAGAGACTAAGTTTCTGAAGGCACTGCAACACTCAGAAATGCATTTTAAGTTGAGGTCATGCCATGGGCTCTGTCTGTATGGTGGTCAGCAAAGTACAGGGATTTTCACTTGGCTTTAAGCTAGAGAGCATATGCCTGGCTAGCACAGGAGTCCATGGCTCAGCATGGGCTGGCCAGAAGATCAGCTCCACTTGCATCACACACAGCTCTGCAACTGTTCATAGGAATGAGCTGTACCTCAGTTCAGCAATTTAGTCATAGCAGCAATTACAATAGAAGCTAAGAATCTCTGACACCTTGGAAAAGTGGGTTTATGGAAACTAAGGTGATCAGACCACTACAAAGAGATCTCAGAGCTCCCATCCAGCTGCTGAAAGACACTGCTGCTTTGCCAAGTTGCAGTAACTGACAGCCCCTCTGTTCTTGGTTTATTGCAAGCAAAGAAAACAGGTGATCTCCATCAAGGCCTGGACAGGTGCACTCTCTACTGGGTTAAGAGCTGGCTGGAGGGTCAGGCCCAGAGAGTGCTGGTGAACGGGGGCTGCATCCAGCTGGCAACCAGTCACTAGTGGTGATCCCCAGGGATCAGTGTTAGGCCCAGTTCTGTTTAACATCTTTATCAATCATTTAGATGAGGGGATTGAGTCCATTATTAGCAAATTTGCAGATGACACCAAGTTGGGAGGGAGTGTCGACCTGCTGGAAGGCAGGAGGGCTCTGCAAAGGGACCTGGATAGGCTGGAGAGTTGGGCTGATTCCAATGGGCTGGAGTTCAACAAGGCCAACTGCCAGGTCCTGCACTTTGGCCACAACAACCCCATGCAGTGCTACAGGCTGGGGACAGAGTGACTGGAGAGAAGCCAGGCAGAAAGAGATCCGGGGGTGCTGACTGACAGGAAGCTGAACATGAGCCAGCAGTGTGTCCAGATGACCAAGAAGGCAAATGGCATCCTGGCCTGCATCAAGAACAGTGTGGCCAGCAGGAGCAGGGAAGTGATCCTTCCCCTGTACTCAGCACTGGTGAGGCTACACCTTGAGTATTGTGTTCAGTTCTGGGCCCCTCAGTTCAGGAAAGACATTGAGGTGCTGGAGCAGGTCCAGAGAAGAGCAACGAGGCTGGTGAAGGGACTTGAACACAAGTCCTATGAGGAGAAGCTGAGGGTGCTGGGGTTGTTTAGTCTGGAGAAGAGGAAGTTCAGGGGTGACTCCATCATTCTCTACAGCTACCTGAGAGGAGGTTGTAGCCAGGTGGGGATCGGTCTCTTTTCCTAGGTAGCTATCAGTAGGACAAGAGGGCATGGTCTTAAACTCTGCCAGGGGAGGTTTAGGTTGGATATTAGAAAGAAGTTCTTTACAGAGAGAGTGATCAGGCATTGGAATGGCCTGCCCAGAGAGGTGGTGGATTCACCGTCCCTGGAGGTTTTTAAGAAGAGGCTGGATGTGGCACTGAGTGCCATGATCTAGTAATCACAGTGGGGTTGGATCAAGAGTTGGACTTGATGATCTCTTCCAACCCAGTTAATTATATGATTCTATGATTATTTCACATCTGCACTGGGTGAGGAATATTAATTCACAAGGTCAGTAAGTGCCTATCATCTGAGGGGCAGAAATTAAGACAACAAACCACCACTTGACATAGTTGGATGATAACTTTAATCTGTTAACTCTGCAGCTGCAAGCTATATATAAACAAGTGCTCAGGTGAAGAAAGAGGATGAAATTCTGGAGAAGAATAACTGAACATAAATATCTTAAATCTTAACATACAAAAAGCAGCCAAAGACTTAAAATAGAGGAAGCAAATATATCCCCATAATGCAGTTCAGGAGTTCCCCTCATTAAGGAAGTCACAAGAATCACCCACAATGTGAATGTAACCTCTGTGGACAGACTAAGTCCAGTAAGATCACTGGGCACTCTTGCCATGACCTTAAAAATGGATCTATGTGGAAAATGAACAATTGAGACTAGGAACAAACACCTATTAACTGTTCTTTGGTAATTTATTCACCTTAGACTAACACCAGAAAACAGATGAGGGAACCAAACAAATGGACTCACTTCTTTATTGCAATCCCAGAAAGCACCCAAGGAGAGCACTAGCAGTTCTCCTTACCAGACTTAACTGTACAAGGGAGAAAGCTGGAGGAATTACCAGAAATAAGGTGAAGAGGGCGAGCACCACCCTCATGCCTATGCTCAAACCAACACTGCAAAGTAGCATCTGTTTCCTTAGGAAGGTCTATCACATAACACCCCATTGTTACTGAGGGGCTGCTACCCAGTAGAATCTATGATTCTACTCTTCACCTTATTCCTGGTAATTCCTCCAGCTTTCTCCCTTGTACAGTCAAATGAGTCAGGAAGAATTGTATTACTGAACCCATAAGGTTTGATTACCTGTGATTATGAATACTGAAAATGTGCTACCCAAATTAACTGAAAAGAGCTGAGCAGTAAAATTAACTACTTCCTACAATCACTGGCTACACAGATCCCACAACTGAAAAATCATCAGCAGGAAGAAAAGTCTGAAGGTCTGTTATAATTAAAGTTCTTTTCTCTCTTTCAAGTGCCTAATGTGAGATAAACCAGAGTCTGTTCCCCCTCAGATATAGACTGTTACTGTGTAATCCTCCCATTAGAGAAACATGTACTTAGGGCAACTGCCCAATTCTCCAGTCTGAGTCAACCTCAAAGGTCTATCCAGTTTAAAATAAAGCAAATTAAGGGTCTCAAGCATGGCTTGACAGAATGCCAGCAAGCCCATTTCTGCTCAACAGAGGTCATCTCTGCAAGTACAGTATTGCTACAGTAAAGACTAGGATGATTTGGGGTGGAGGAGGCAACCCCAAACAAACCATTCAGATGGGCAGAAAAGAGCAAGGGAGAGAACTTGCCAAGAAACACTGGAAAAGACAGCCTGAAAATGCAAATGCCACTGGGTCTCAGCAGAGCACAGCAAGCCATTCAAGAAGTTACTGAAACTCAGTCACCAGGCTTAATTCCATGCATCAAGGGGGTGTATCTGCTATTTGAATAATAGGGTGTTTTAGGGGTTAACAGCGGGTCTGTTAGCTCCCTGGAAGAGGACATTGACTTGGGAAACTTTCAAGTGTGGCTTTGAAGATAAGTAAGTTTTCCACACAGGCCAATTGGGGAGCGAGGGCAGACTGTGAGTCCGCAGATTCAGTATGTGAGAACCACAGCCTTGTCCTTGGACACCTCTAGGTGTCTCATGATTGCTGCCAATGATGAGTGGCCAATTAGGATGTTGTTGCTTGCTTGCTACTTGTTTGCTCACTGCTTGCTTGCTGCTTTTTGACAATGATATAAAAGGAGCTGGGATTTTTAATAAAGGAAGCCTTTTCTTATGTTGCCCTGAATCAGCCTTCTTGTGTGTTTTTTGAACTGTCACGACTTAACGGCAACATATGGTGACCCCCGACATGATCTCCAACAAGAGATGGAAAGCGACGACGTGCTTTCCAGTGAAGGATCAAAACCGACAACGTGATCCCCATTGAGGGGTCGAAACTCCAGGGGGTCACACGATCCCCACTGAGGGATTAGATGCGACCCTCTCCGAGGGGTCGGAACAGTGGTGATTTCCAGTGAGGAATCACGATTCCCAGAGAGGAATCAGAACCGCACGGTGAGGTGCAGTGATGATGGTACTCGGCGTAGCAGAGAGCAGCCAGAGGAGTTGCCTTGGTCTGGACCAGCATTGTGACACTTGTGATATACAGGTGAGCTGCCGAGAACTTAATCACGACGTGGGGCATTTATCAACTAAAGAGGAATCTCATACACTTTCTACTTAAAAAGCCTTGCTCCGAAAACAGGGTGAGAAAGTAAATGAAAATAGTTTAAAGCATTTGTTGTGGTGGTGCCGCAAGCAAGGACACGAAGCTACTTTTTCTACAGCTTTTAGTGTGATTGTGTGGGAGAAGGTTAGGAAGGCTCTCTGGGAATCTGTCTCCAAGGGAGAGCCCGGCACAGAGGGGTTGCCAACTACCTGGCGTTTGATGTTAACTACTTTGCAAGAGTGGTAAAAAGAGCAGGGCAAAGAGACGGTGGACTCAGTAAAAGACAAGGACTCTGAGGAGCAAGATGATACTGCTACTCAGTGTGATCCACCTTTGCCCTCCTCCCCCTCCGGCTCAGACAACGAGGAGTCAATGTGAGCCATGCGGGCTGTTGTACAAAGCAGACCTTGCTGTCATGCCCCTGAGAAAAAGAAACAGAAGAGTCGTAAATCTGGCTCTTGGACTTTGCCGCTGTCCATTGTGTCTGTTATGCCTAGTAAACCAAGAACCTTTTGGGAGGCAGTGAGGAGAGAAGCAGCTAATGCAGATAATGGACCGCTGTGGGTTCCTGCTTGGTGTGTGCATCCTGTTCTGTCTTGGGGAGACCAGCACTGACGACTCTTACGTGGAACAGCTCAAACGCCTCAGCCCATGGAACAGCAAGAATGTCTGGGTGACCCTGATGAAAGCACTGAATCAAACTACCTTCTGCGCCTCATTGAGGCAACAAGAACTGCCTTTTCATACGTGCCTTGTTGGAGCACCTGTAAATAATTCTGATGCAGTGAAACTTGTTTCTAATGTAACACGATTGTCCACTCTGTTGACAAAAGATTGTAATGCTTCTGCGCTAAACTGCATTGCAAACTTGCCACTGATGTAAGATGCTACATTGCAGAATCGTGCTGCTATTGACTTCCTGCTGCTTGCCGAGAGACATGGTTGTCTAGTTGAGGAATTTCGGGACGGTTACTGTCTTTGCTCAAAACGGGGATCCTGATTTTAGAGATGATTGTAGTTGTGCTTGTAATGTTGCCATGTTTGGTGTCGTGTTTGCAAAGGGCCCTGCAAAGGACGACCCAGGCAATTTTCCTAGCACAAATACAGAAAGGGGGAAATGTAGGGGTTAACAGCGGGTCTGTTAGCTCCCTGGAAGAGGACATTGACTTGGGAAACTTTCAAGTGTGGCTTTGAAGATAAGTAAGTTTTCCACACAGGCCAATTGGGGAGCGAGGGCAGACTGTGAGTCCGTAGATTCGGTATGTGAGCACCACAGTCTTGTCCTTGGACATCTCCAGGTGTCTCATGATTGCTGCCAAGTGTATCAGTAATGATGAGTGGCCAATTAGGATGTTGTTGCTTGCTTGCTACTTGCTTGCTCACTGCTTGCTTGCTGCTTTTTGACAATGATATAAAAGGAGTTGGGATTTTTAATAAAGGAAGCCTTTTCTTATGTTGCCCTGTATTAGCCTTCTTGTGTGTTTTGTGAACCGTCACGACTTAACGGCAACAGGGTGTGCTCAACTTGCCTCCATTAAGAGACAAGAGATTCCCTGCTGTACAGTCATTCCTGCACTACAATGGGAAACCACTGCTTCTCTCACCATGATCCTGGATTTCAATTCTGATCTCTAAACCAGTAGGGCAATAAAATCAAATCAAGTAAGAAAACCTGGCTTTTTATCCTGTTTCTCCTATGACTTATATTTGGACAGTTGGCATATCATCACCTTTCTCTGCCTCAATTTCTAACACTGACTGGACTAAAAGTGACATATGTCCAACCACAAAATATTCTGAAACTTAACATTTATATTGTTATATTACTACAAGCATTTAAAACCACTGAAACAGGCTAGGGATTAAGTTCTCTATGGCCAAATTTGTGTGTTTGCAGCACTATCTAGCTTGTTCCCAGTTTTTGGGGGAGCTTTTCATATAGCAACAAGGATGGCTAACTCTCCATGAGAAGTTATCTTTGCAAGAAAGCACCCTGAAAGCAGAATACACAGAAGCATCTGAAACTGGGGAAATTTTACATCATTGTCCAGATTCTTCTGAGAATTGTCCAAAGCTTCCTATGCAGAAAAAAAAAGGGAGGAAAAGGGCACTCACACTACCAGGCTTTAGGACCACACATTGAGGTACTTGTGGAGATCAGTCAGCAGAGAGGGACATTTTCCAGGGGTGTCAAGGTGACCTCTTCAATAACCTAGAGACTCTGCTGACTGCAGAAAGATCGGCCTCCATGTTTAGAGGCTAAAGCTCAGTCTATACAAATATCCTTTTGGCCCCCTCACCCAGACCTGGAATTTTCTTCAAATTAATAGATCAACATCAGGGCTAGGGTTTCCAGATCAGGAGTTTTCCTTTGTCACTGGTGACACTAGGTACCTAAATACTTGTTTCAGCATAATTGGACGACACTCAGACTCAAAAGTCTAGTTTCTTTAGAGGAGAGGAAAACCAAAAAGGCACCTCAAACCAAGTCCAACAAAACAATTAACCAGAAACAACTAACCTGTGATAAGAATGATCTTACATGATAGCTGTAGGAGTAATCCTAGAAATACACATCCTGCCATACTTCACCAAGATTTGTTTTTTTCTGTATACTTCTACTTTTCAAAGTCCCTAAAATAACCAAAGCAGTATGCTGCCATCACAGAACAACACAGGTACCATTACAATGAACAACTCTACATAAAATTTGAGAGCTCCTTTGCTACACCATAGTTTATAATTTCACCATGAACTGACTCAGTTTAAGCAACCAACCCACAAGGGAAGTAGAATTATGAAATACAGCAAGAAGATCTGTTTGTGAGGTACCCATGTCAGTACTCAGTGTGAGTAAATTATACTTCTGAGACAGGTGCACTTCTGGAAGACTTCTTATCTTACCAAGATTTTCACCCGAATGGGAGAGTACTGCATTCCTTGCAGGATTTTTATCCAAGTGTCCACTACCAACTGGAAATTAAGCCCAAGTCTCACTGCTTGGCATTACTGATGAAGATAGAGAGTACAAAGACAAGAGGGACCGTAAAGACACATGTAGACTAGCTCTAGGCAATTTGGCAGGAACTGCATATGGGATTAGAACTACTCAACAGTGGTGGCTGTGATCTCCAGCAGACACAGGAGAACAGAGCATGTCCCAGCCTTGTCTTTCTTCTCAGCTTCAACCAACTGCCTATTTGGCACCAAAACAGTGGGATACAGGCACACTGCTCCACTGATGACAAGGGCAGAGGAAAGGCATTCATCCAAGCAGAGGACGGAGGTGTCAGTAACAAGTCAAGTTTGGTGCCTGCTAAAAGGCTAGGAGGTGCACCCCTGAGTCCTGCATTTTAGTGAGTATTAGGTAAGACTATCACCCTGGAATGCACATGCTTCATGGCTGGACCTGAAGAGCATTGGACCTATTCTCCCCACCTAGTACCATGTGAAGTCTGAGGGAGTTTGAATGTAGAAGGCAGGAGGGGATTCAGGAAAAGCCTGAGCCTCTCCTACAGCAATCAAGATGACAACAGATGCTAGCTCAATGTGAGCTGTATGGAAAGCTTCTAGCTTGCATTAGACAAGTCCAAGATGCACTCTTTAACCTCAGAGAAAAAAAACAAACAACATTTTATTTATTCCATTAGCTTATTAGAGGAGATGGCCAACCAGAACAGCTAAAATGGGAAAAGTTTCCACAACCTGAGACATAAAGAGGTCCTGGGCTTTAAGCAGTTTATGAAGAACCCATGAGCTACTGCAGCAGCATACTAAGGAACCTTAACTCATCTGGAAAATTGATAGATTTAGTTCATTTTGAAGAACAAGAACACTCATGTCCCTAGCCCCCATTTCCTCTCAGCACCTCTGCAGGCCCTCAATGTAATGTCATCCTGCAATAGCCACACTGCAGAACAGCCTATACAAACTCCTGTTGTACAAGCCATTACCTGGGAGAAGCAGAAAAGGAACAGTGGATCAATTTTTGCTCTTGGCACTGCTGAAAACTACAAATCAAATACAAATGCACTTTTGAGAACTCCTGCACTTTGGGTTTGATGGGTAATACCCCTGGGGAATCTGTCCCTGGGCTCCAATTAGTACAGTTTAAAATTACCATATTCCTCTATGTATAAACAGTGTCATTAGACTTGTATTTTTAAAAAATAAGATTAACCCAGGCTAGGGCTGGGCACTACAGATAAATTAGTAGCTTATCTCTTATAAATATTTTAAATATTTTTTAATTACAAATACTCCTCACTCCAGGTAATGGAACTGACACAAAATATCTGCAGACACACAGCCCCTAGACTTTCACAGAAAGCCCAGGAGTAACCACTCTATAAGAAAGGAATCCTACCTCACAGCAAAGAAGAGGAGGGGACACATGGCCAAGAGAGCCTAAATGTGGGGGAAGAGTAATTTGGAGTAAATACAATAAAAAAAGGATTTAAAAACCCCTTCATATAAAAGATCAAGGAGGTTAAAGCAAAAATAATGGTTCAAAAAGATGTACAAGACTGTTAGAGACCAACAGAAAACTCTGTCAAAAAAATAACTTGCATTTAAACCAGAAATCAATGGCATCACACAATTTGGTTGTTAAAACAGGAAAGAAAAGGGGAAATCTGTGTAAAGATTAGCATTTATAAAGAGTTATCATTAGCTCCAGAGACCAGCATAATTCCCATGAAGTCCTGATGGAAGGGGGCCTCCTGCCACAAAGAGTTTCGTTCCAGACGAGTCGTAACAGTGGGTATAAACAGCATTTGGGAAGAAATGTATGTCAGAAAAATAATTCCTCCAAGTTTCATCATGATTCTGTAAAAGGAAAGTTTAGATTATTACTGTTGTCAAACAAACATAAAACCTTGTTTCACAAAAGCAGAAGGTAGCTTCCAGAGCCTAAAAAGGGATCTTCTCTGTTAATACTCCTGAAGCTTCAGATAGATCAATGAGAAGATAACAAAGTTCTCCTGAAACTTTTTCTGAGGACATTTGGGTCAAACATTGTAGGGAGGAGGTGAAGGGTAGGGAAGATATCAAGTTTCATTAGTTTTTAAAGTTACATCACAATGATACAAAAGATAATGAAGAGAAGTTAGACAAAACCATTAACTGCTTTATGATAACATATGGGAAACTGAATGGGAAAGTGCCTGCCATGGCATTACCTCAGAAGGCTAGTTTCTAATATTGCACACAACTACATTAAATCTCTCTTTCTTTGAGTACCACATTAGAGTAGCACATTTTTAAAGGAAGACAATGTAATTTGTGTTTGAGGTTCTGAAAACTAGAAGTTAGATTACATTAGAAAATATAAGATATAAAATCTAGTTCATTTATGGATCAGTGCATAAGAACAGTAGTCAGAATGCCTTACACTCGAGCAACCAACCATTCAATACCCTTTCATAAAGCTTTTGTAGAAAGCAATTCTGCAGCACTTCTTGCCTCTCAAAATTACAGTTATTGGTTACATGATCACTGTTTGACTGGGACACATTTCATACAATAGCTTCCATTACTACAAAAAGAACCAGTGCAAACTCCTGTATAAAGGGCTTCATACAACTACAAGCTACTCACCAGCCAGCCTTTCCCAGTAGTCAACTTCAAAATTTCATTTCCTCCTAATTTCTGCTTCTGTCCATAGCAGGCACGTGGGGGCTTTTCATCCAGGAATCTCTGGGCTCGGATATCATAAAACAATAAGGAACCTTGCCCCGTTCCCACTGTGATGATGTGCTCGTAGAAGCTCACCGATCTAATACCTGTCAAACAGAGAAGGGACACACAATGTAGTAAGGAAAATGGATGCTTTGGCCCTGCAGTGCTGCTGCTTGATGTTTAATATTTTCTATAAGAGGAACTACCTACTAGTATTCTCCACAACACACAAGTTTGAAGCACACACTGCTATGGAGCAGTGAAAAAAAATCCCATTGATGTTATTGAAACAGCAGTTTCAATTACATATACTACTTCCTTTCTCCTCTGATGTCATCAACTACAGATGGTGCATAGTAAAGCTTAATTCTCAGCAGGCCCCAGCTCTGACAGATAAACAAAGATCACAAGCAATTTAGGATCAAGAGTAGCTTTGTTCTGTCTTTCACAAGCCTCTAAGTGAACACACCATGAGTACGTGGCAGCAGACAGAGGAAAGAATGTCACATTGGTTTCCTCCACAAGCTCACACCCTATCTAGCTACCTGCCAAGCTGTGATAAGTGACTATGTGAGAAAAATTACTGTCCCAGTTGCTACTAAGTGCATTTTGCTGGTCAACAGGCTAGCTGTAAGCAGGTATAAGCATGATAATCACTAGTCACCTTGCTGTTAAGATAGATCAGGATCTTAAATAATTTTGAGGCTATCCCTGCTTAAATATTCTCACACCAGCACACCTTAGTAGCTAGTACTTTTAGCACTTCACCCAGCAATGAAAACAGAATACTACAAGCAAAGCACCACCATGTTACACCAGCACATGGGAAGCTACAAGTTTCCAGTCCAAACAAAACATTCTAACACAATTCACTTATGCCATTAGATTGAGCAAAAGAGTACATTTTGTTTTCCCAAAATCTTAATCTGGAGCCTCATCTTCAGATTAAACTTCCTTCCCTTGGAAATAGTCTTGGGGAGATTCTGTACATAGGAATTTGCAAAGTGTCCTGTCATCTCATCTCTATTGTGCAAAAGGTTTGCTCTGTCTAAGTACTCTAACCCAAACAACTCTTCTATGCAGATTAAACCCCACCACATCTATGCTTCCCCTTTCTGCACAACATGAAGACAGGTTATAAACCCTATAGTTTTTTAAGCTGTCTTTAAAGTACCACTGAATTACAGCCTAAACAAGCATTCAAACAGGAGGGGAAAAGAGTGAGTTATGTCAGCTACATTCACTGTACCAAGTGAGGCTGAACATCACAAAACTTGTGACATACTGGAATACACACAGCAGTACACATGACAGCAGACATCCAAGAAGTGTAGATGCAGAGAGTTTCCCCTTCCCCTCTGTACAGAGTCCTAACTAGAAACATATCCTCATTCTTCCACCTCCACAACCTGATGTTACATCCACAGCCACTAGCATCTGTTACACACACTTAGAACAGGCAAGGCCATATTGTTGTGTTCCAGATATGAGGTGAAGTCTTGGCTGCAGGCTTAATAGGTGGGAAACCACTGTGCAAGTCTCACACCTGCTGAAGTAGATTTATCAGATTTGTATATGAATCTCTAATTCAGAGAACTACAAGTGCATCTGAGCAACTTGGGAGACATCCCTCCCCCCTCATTGTTGTCCTGAACTGTGTTCTTTCACCTGGTGTGCAAGAGGCTGATCACCACAGAGTTGAGGTATTTGATTTATTTACAGTTCTGAGCAGAAAGAGGGGCTGGGTGGCAAATCCGCAAAGCCAGCACACCAAGGCAAAGGAAGGTCTACTTATATGGTTACAATCTTAGGCTATTAGCATATCTTACTTAAGTCACTACTTGGATAAGTTGCTATTGGCTTATCATTTCTCTACTGCAATTTAAAGGCATAGTGTCCCAAGAAAACATGGTACGTGCTCAATGAATAGTGGCCTTTTTGTGAGTAGAGGGTCCCTGAGCTAGGGGTGTGATTTTTACTATTATAATGAGCAAAGTTCATCCCTAGGGCAAGTTTTCATCACAGAACCAGTCAAAACTGGGGGTTTGTTGGCTCATCATTAGACATCCTGGATAAAAAAGGTGCTATCGTTTTTGTTTTCCCCTCTCTTCAAGGACTTATGCCATCAATTTTTTGTTTTCTACATTCCCATGGTTATTGCTTCCATTGCTTAATCACTTTGTTATTTGGAACTTTGTTCCTGTTATTCATCACCATTACAAGGGCCTGGCTCTGGCAAATACATGCAAAGAGTTTTAAGCCCTCTACAGTCAGCAAGAGCAGTCACTTGGATAAGAGGAGAAAGGCACAAGGGCAGACCTCCTCTTATTTTTGCTTCAAAAGTGCTTATCGACAAGCAACCCAATAGAACACTTACTTAACAGAGACAGGTGATGGAGTATGAAAGCAGATGGCATATACTTTTCAATGCAATTTACTAATAAAAAGCTATAAAATACAGAACAACTGTGAATCTTTCTCTAATCAGAAATTTTAAGAAAACTGAAGGAATCCATTATGTACCCACTACTAAGTGGATGTTTAGAACATGCTTTCAAGAACAGCATTTCAAATTGGCTCCTAAGGGGCTGAAGTACCTCAGATTAATCATTCCCATCAAACTAAAAGCACCACTTGTGCCTAGAACTGATCACAGTAAGCTCTCCTACATTTCCATCACTCTACCACCTGTGAACCTGGACTATTTGGGTGAGCAAATTGAGTCTTACTCCTGAGAGGCAGAGAGCTCTACAAATCCCAGAAGGAAACGAAGATGCAGTAGCATGTCCTACACAAAGAGTAGACACAGAGTCTGTGCTGCACAAGCTTTGTCCACTGTATTAATGTTGCTGCCTTCAGGATTATAAAGTCAAGGGCACACAACATTGCTCTGCAGGTCAGTCAAGCAGAAAGCAGTAGCTCTAACAGATCAAGAACTACAGTCCAGGGCCTGCACTTTTCCATACAGCTGCTAAGAAAAGCAACACTCACAAGATGCACTAAAAAGCATTAGCTACCTTCTCACATAGAACAGAAAGGGTTATACTCAGTAAAAACCAGCCCCAGTTTCAGTTTGACAACCTTTCTCTGACCTCCTTTTGTCTATGACACTAGTGAACAGAAATTAATCTGGACTTACCATGTTCATCAGGTGCATTTAGAAGCTGAAAGCACATTCAAGTAACACTTCAAAGCACTTAAAAGCCAACCCAGATTTTAGTTTGCAAATCAATAAACAGCCTACTTTCTAGAGGTGCTGCAACACTCCAAGTCCCAGTGAGACCAACAGAAAGCTGAAACATTATCTTGGGAATTAATATGGTACCTCCACCATCACACAGACACACAAAATTTGCCTACTATGTAGAATAGAAAACAGCATTGAACAAAGGTTTTCTCCAGATATGAACTAGCACCCCAGAGATACTCCTTACACATAGATCATCTTTCCCAACAGGAGTTTTTAGCCACCAGTCACCACACTCCAGTGTCTTGGTATTTCTTCCCTATGATACTGAAGGGTGACACCTTCACAGAGCCCTCATTGACAGTGGGTCAAGACAAGGGATGTTGTTGGCAAGATGTTCAAGTGACAAACAAGAGCTGGTAAAGCACCTTTTATCATACTATAGAAACTTCTCCTGTATCTGAAAGAAGCAGACCCTAACATTTATCTAGACAGCACTGTTCAAACCCCAGTAACCACAAAAATAAAAATTTCCTAATCCTTGCCTACATGTAATTTGTTTTCTAACTTGCCCATAGATAAATGCTTAGAGTCAAGCTAAATAAGGACTGCAACTTATTAGTCTGGGATTAATATGGTTTAAAATGGGCATTGCAGCACAATGCCTTCTCATGTTTGAAAATAAAGAGTATGGGAAGAAGCTTATGGGACCATGTACCCTGCAAACCCTCAGACCCAGCCCAGGTGTAAAGTTCAACTGGACATACTGCATTCACATTAGAAAAGGAAAATAGCACTCAAATCTGCAAACTTTTTTTTTTAAGAGTAAGCTTTTGTATATTTAAAGCAAATAAATACACACTGATGATTAAGTGTCTCACTCATGGCTTAAAAATTACAAAGCAAGCATTCACTCACAGCACTGACTCCCAATATGATAGCACAGAGCAGATAGCATGCTTTTTTCCTGTTCCCAGAGAAAAATGCAAAAATAGACAGTATTAATAGTGGTACAAAGACTGGATTTACTTTGAGATGAAGTAAAAAAGAATAAGACACAGTAAAAACTAAGCAGAATTAAAATGCACAGTGAAAGTTCAGTAATAAGCAAAATGTACACTTTTAAAAGTTAAATAATATTTCAATGGTGTGCAATTTAGTTGATCATAAAATCACTAATGTTGTCCTTCATTAGATTTCAGAGTTGCTTTTATGTTTGGTTTGTTGGTTGCTCGAATAATGTCATAAAAGCATGAAGCCATGCAAAAGGAAGCAATCTCCGAGAAACAAAAAGTTAAAACATAAAAATGTGAAGCACTACAGGAAAGCTCAGTATTAGGAAACCACGGAGGTAATAAATTGTCTGAAGGAACAGAACGTGTTGATAATAGGATACTAAAACCATTAGGATAACACAAAACAAGGAAATAGTAGCATCAGCAAATCCTAGGATGAGCCAAAAGTCAACCTGACCTTATTATGATTGCCAAAACTCCCTTAAAAGGAGAAGATCTAAAGAAAGTTCAGAAGTTTACGGTGAGGAAGACTCTCCCACGACCCCCGCCCAGAGGAAGGCAACAGGAACCCCCACCGTGAAATCTCCCCAAATTGAAGACTCCGCCCAGACTCCGCCTATATATGAATATTACAAGTAGATGTTGCAATAGAATGAATATGCATGATTGTGTTGTAATCCTATACTCAAAAATTGTATAAAAGAGCTATGCTGATTGTACACGACGGAGCTCTTTGCCCAGGGCGACCTGGAGGGCTCCCCAACGCGTTGCAATAAAATACCTCCTGCTTTAAAGAAACAAACTTTGTCTCTAAAGCAGTTTCTCCGTGCCTTTTGGGGCAAAATTTCGGCATCAAGCAAAACCTATATATTGCATGAAAACCCCTTCCTATTTATTAGAAGCTTACCTTACTGCAGTCTTAATAGCTAATTCTGCAAGTAAACAATTTGAAGCACCCTCTGACAAGTTTCTTACCGCTGCCGCGTTCTTTGGAACAGACGGATTTAACACTGTGAGAAGGCTGCCTCGGATCCAGAAAGGAGACATGTGCCTGTGATCCTACTGCATACACTGACCACTCCTGACCATAAGCCAAACACACATTCTCCCTGCAGTATGGCAACTTTGTGGAAAGTAACTGGAAACAGAGGAAAGACAAATCAATACATTATGAGAAAAGACCAAAACATTAATAGAACAATTCTGTATGCTATGTTCAAGGAAGTTGAAGTGAAAAAAATTAAAATGCAGCTAAAAAATAAGTTCATCACAATAACAGAACTTTAAGAGAAAAACAACAATCTGAACCATAGAGAAAAAAATCTGAAGGAGATTGGATGCTTTATCTGAACCAAACTGAGGTGATAAAGGCTGAAGCCAAGTATCATGCAAAGAAACACAGACATTGTGGTATATTACATTATTCTAAGCTGCTGTTATTTCTTCAACAGGTATACACAGACATCATCTCAGCTGAAAAAGTTTACTTCATACAGTAGTATAGATATTTTGGGGTTTGATCTGCAATTACATTTAAATAAGTACAACTTCCTTTATGAACGCTGATAATTAAGTATCTGATATACTCTATGGAAAAGTTTACTTGAGCTCACCCAGAACTGGCAGAAAGTTAAGAGCATGTCTTACCCTCCAAAAATAAGATGAGTGGGAAGTTTCTGTCTCCAAGTCTTATTATTTAGGACATTGCATTTTACATAAAGTTTTAAGTGTTTGTCATAGATAAGGAATGGTATTCCTCAATTTAGTGTTCCCATTGAATCACCCCAGACCACATGCCACTCACTCACTTCCTCCCTACATCCCCCTGTAGCAAGATGGAGAGGAGAATTGGAGGCACAAAAAGGTAAAGATCACAGGCTGAGCTAAGAACAATGTGCTAGAAACATCAGTGAAATAAGAAAATGAACAGTAACAACAACAATACTAAAGACAGAGGATACAAGATAGGCAAATGATTGACATGTGATTGCTCACCATGCAGAACCTGGTACCACCTGACTGCACACCCTGGCAAAACCTGATAAATACCACCTCCCTCCATCCCCCCTGCACGTGGCATGAAGTGGTAGCAAATAACCTCAGGGTCCTGGCCCTGCCCCTCCTGGCTGCTGCAAAAATTAATGCCGTCCTGCCCAGAACCAGGACACTATCCATCCCTTATTCTATACCATCTATATCATGCCCAGATCCTACAACTTCCAACTATATGTATCTATATGTACATGCACACACAAGCATGGGTATCATTCTCCCTTAGTCAATGGCTGTCCCTCCAAAATGTCTTCCAGGGCAGGAGGGCTGGTGTGCTGTCAGCTGGTTGCAAGCTGCATCAGGAGCACACAACTGGTGAATCCGGAGCAGTTCGTAATCATTGTCCATGGTAGTTATGGCACACAGTGGCAGTGTCATTCAGCAACCAATGTTATACAATTCAATATCACTGACTGTTCTCACCCAAAAATCAAATCCCCTTGAGGTACACATTGTGTTTCCCTGTCCCTCTGCATTACCCACCAAGTGCACCTAGGTCCTGGAGCAAAAACAATCCCACGGATGGGTTTGCCTTTGCTTGAGGCAGGACTAATTCAAACTGCGTTCCCTAACACATTCCTCATATGCACCACAGGGACTTTATCCCCTTCTATGGTATGTGGAGGTTTTGATTGGGCAGGGCCAGCTCAATTGGTGGAACCTCTAGTGTTAACTAACCTGGTGGCCTTCACTAAACATAGATCCCAATGTTTGAAGGTCCCTCACCCATTGCTTTCAATGTGTTTTTTAACAGTCCACTGTACCATTCCATTTTCCCAGAGGCTGTTGCATGATAGGGAATATGATACACCCACTCAATGCTGTGCTCTCTGGCCCATGTGTCTATGAGACTGTTCTTGAAATGGGTCCCATTGTCAGACTCAATTCTGTCTGGCGTGACGTGTTGCCAAAGGACTTGCTTTTCAAATCCAAAGATGGTGTTCTGGGCAGTGGTGGGAGGCACAGAGTACATCTCAAAAACTTCCTCTGCTGTGTTGCCCCACATGATGACATTATCAATGTAATGCAGGTGTTCTGGAGCCTCACCCTTTTCCAGTGCAGTCTGGATCAGTCCATGGCAAATACTGGGGCGGTGTTTCCACCCCGTGGCAGTTGTTTCCAGGTGTACTAAACACCCCCCAGGTGAAAGCAAACTGTGGCCTGCACTCTGCTGCTCAAGGAATGGAGAACAATGCATTAGCAATGTCAATGGTGGCACCACTTTGCTACCTTGGACTCCAGTTAGCACTGAAGTTCCACCCTGTCCGGCACAGCAGAACTCAGTGGTGGTGTGACTGTTCAGGCCACCATAGTCTCCTGTCAGTGTCCACTCTCCATTGGACTTACACACTGACCGTATAGAGCTATTAAAGGGTAAGTAAGTCTTGCTGACAACTCCTGGCCCTCCAGTTCATGAATCATCTCACGGATGGGGATCATGGAATCTCAGTTGGTGCAGTCTTGTTGACAGTGCACTGTTGTGGTAGTGATCAGTACCTGTTGTTCCTCAACCCTCAGCAGTCCCACAGCAGAAGGGTCCTCGGAGAGACCAGGCAAGGTATTCAGCTGTCTAATTTCCTCTGTCTCCACAGCAGCTATCTCAAAAGCCCAATGATGGCTTTTTGGGTCCTTGAAATACCCTCTTCTCAGGTAATCTATGCCAAGGATACACAGGGCCTCAGGACCAGTCAGAATGGGTTGTTTTTGCCATTTGTTCCCAGTCAGGCTCACTTCAGCTTCCAGTACAATCAGCTGTGGGGATCTCCCTGTCACCCCAGAAATAGAGGTGGATCTGCTCCTATATATCTTGATGGCATCAGGGTACACTGTTGTGCTGGTGTCAACCAAAGTCTTATACTCTTGTGGTTCTTATGTGCCATTGGATCCACACAGTCCCATAGATCCGATTGTCCCTTTTCTCCACCTGGCTGGAGGCAGGGCCCCTCTAGTTCTGGTCATAGTACTAGTTGCTCACTTCTTGTAAATATGAAATGGACGTCCCTTCAAGAGGATCAGAAGTAACATCAGCCCTCCTATTCTGTCTGAGGACTTGCCGACTGGAAACTGGAGAAGCATTTATCCTTGAATTTCCTGTGGTGGTTGTTCTTCCTTTCAACTCACGTACCTGTGCTCCTAGGGCAGAGGTGGGTTTTCCATCCCAATTCCTCATGTCCCCTCCATGGTCACGCAGGTAAAACCTCGTGGTGTATTCCCTCTCTCTTGAGCAGGAGGGCACTTACTCCAAAGAGCAGAGACACTGGTCTGTAATGGAGGGGTATGGGACATTTTCTCTTTAAATTGCTGGAAGTCCTTGGACAGTCTTTCCACAGCCAAAACACAGTCCCATAGGGAGAAAGAAAGACTTTCTTCATATTGCTGGAGTTCGACAAGCAAATTATCCAGTTTGTTCTCCTTCTTTCCATGACATCACTGCCAATGAGTTGGGATACAATGATGGCGTGCTCCGTAGGAACTTCTGCCATGTAGTTTGTGTACAATGGACTTAATCTGAATCTACAGGGGACTGCTTGTTACTTGAATCCTTATAGATTACCTCCAGCACAGCTAATTCTCTCAGGTACTGGATACCTTGCTCCATGGCATTTCACTTGTCTCAGTGCACTAATAGATAATCCTTGAAAAGATACCTTTCCCTCACACTTGACAGGAGTCGCTTCCAGAGGCTGAGGATTTCTGTCCTTTTTCCAATCCCCTTGTCAATGCCCACATCCCGGGACAGGGATGCCAGATGCTTGGCTTCACTACTCTCTAATTTCCAACTGTGGGTCACACTATTCCAGCATCAGAGCAGCAAGGTCACAATGTGCTCACCCAGATGGCAGCTGAAATCTTTTTGCATATCTTGCAGCTCACCTCAGGGATAGGGATCAGGTGATTATCTCTGGCCCTGCTTCTTCCTCCTGTTTTGAGGGGCCTGCTTCCTCTTCATCCCTCACTAAGCATACTGATTTGGTGTTGCATTTCTTCATCTGTATAGGTATGACTGCTACTGGCACAGGTTGATCCTCTGGTTCAGCTGCAGTTTGAGTGGTCACGGTGCCTGTTGGCCTGCTTTCCTCCTCCTCCCCCTGAGGGTGCTGTCTAGTGATGAGCAGTGTCTGATAAATAGTAGCCAGGGCCCAGCACGTTGCATAACTTTTTGCCTCTCTGGAGCTGCCACAGCATTTTTCTTTCAAATATTCTGCCACTTTATCAGGGTCCTGTAGTTGTTCAGTGGTGAACTTCCAAACCATTGGAGAAGTCCTCCAAACGCTGGCCCATTTTCTCCCACCTTCCATGCCACTCATGACTATCTACCCTCGAGGCAGATCTCTGAATGAATCTTCCTAAAATTCTCTTTTGTAACTCTAAACATGGTGTGGACCGCACTGAGGAGACCTGGCAGACTTAGCAACAAGAACATGCTTTCCTTAACATCCAAGGGGAATTCAGAATTCTCAAAAACTGTTGTACCAGGCCTGAAGGAGGAAAAGGGGGTGAAAAGCTGGAGAAAATCATCCTCCCCTATTCCCTCCACAGATGGGGTACAATTATTAATGAATTCCCAGAGGTAGCACCTGAGGTAAGGGCAAGAGAGCAGCACTGAATACACATCCCAAATGACCCTCATTGCCCTTGATGTTATCATGTCATAAACTGAACAACAAAACAATCCCGATCCCTCTCCCTGCTCTGAAAAAGAGCATTGCCAGGAGCACATAGTGCATATATAAGAATATATACAGGGTTAGGTACCACAACCATGTGAACAGACCAAGCAACATTGTGACCAGTGGCTCCGTACCTAAACCAGCAAATGCTTAGATTAAATTTGTTTCCAACCCACGCTGGTCAAATCTGTTGTTATCTCAATGCTTCATGCCACACATTGGGTGCCACATTGACTGTCATGGTGTAGGAATGGTACTCCCCAATTTAGTGTTCCCACTGAATCACCCCAGACCACATGCCACTCGCTCACTTACCCCCCCACATCCCCCTGTGGTGGGATGGAGAGGAGAATTGGAGGCACAAAAAGGTTGAGACAAGAATTTACTAGAAACAGCAAAATGAACAGTAACAACAATACTAAAGACAGAGGGTACAAGATAGGCAAATGATTCACATGCGATTGTTCACCATGCGGAATCGGGTACCACCTGACTGCACACCCTGGCAAAACCAGAAAAATGCCACCCCTCTCCATCCCCCCTGTGCACGGTGTAAGGTGGTATGAGGTGGTATTGAATAACCCCAGGGTCCTGGCCATGCCCCTCCAAGCTGCTGCAAAATTTAACCCTGTTCTGGCCAGAACCAGGACAGTGTTTTACAAACACCGCTGCTCTTTCTTCAAGCATCAAAAGGAGATAAAGAATAGTGTACAGCCTTAAATGCTAAGCCAATTTTTAAGTTTTACAGTAACAGAGAAGCACCTTTGATAATGTGTGCTCTGCTTTCCAAAGATGAAAATAACCATCCAGGGACACAGCTCCCAGCTCCTATTATTAAAAAAAAAAAAAAAAAAGAAAAGTAAGAGCATTAGTTTCTGTATTATAGATGTCCTTACAAACTCACATTCTAGGTTGATTCTCCAGTATATTTGATTAAGATTATTTTTTTCTTTTTCAAATACATATGGACAGTTTTAGGACTACTCAACTGTCTTGCATATCTTACTGACCTTGTTCTTATTGTTGAAAGCCAATGCTCGCACTTTGCAGTTGTCAGGATTGGTGTTCTCCTTAGGGATATCCTTCAGAGCCCTGTGTGTTATGTGGGAGTAGACAGGAACTTGAGAGACATTATGCCTGGCATTGCTTTTGGACAACACATCCTCTGTGACTTCCCAGAGACCCATCGAACCATCCCGGGAACCTGAATAAATAGTCCATAACAGCATTTCACATATACATAATTCCCCGTTTTAAAAAATGAACTGCAATAAACAGTAAGGTCTGAAAGAAAGAAAGGATACTTTAGATTAATTTAATCTAACCGAACACACTGCTGGTGCCTATATATTAATTCTTGTTAACAAAATAATGATTTTACCGAGCTGTAAAGTTGATAACATTGCAAATTCATTGTCAACTGATTTGTCTACGTGGTTTCCAAGAAGTTAGATCACCTCATCTGTTTTCAAACTTATTAGAATGCATCGAAAAAACACAATCCTGTACAACAATCACCATTAGAGACTCACATGTAGAATAAACTCAGAGGCAACTGAATAGCCTATGCATTCAGCCTGAGCCTGGCTTACCAAGGCCAAGATTGACAGTCTGTTAAGCCAATACAAAAACCTCCAAGAAAACTCAGTTGGGTTTACAACAATTTTAGATTGCTTGATTTCTGACAGTATGTTTATGGATATGTACACACACATTAGTGAAATGAACAGAAACATCTATTTAAAACAACAATTTGTACCAAATCTATTTTTAATTTCTTTTTTAAACTCATGCAACCTCTTGTTTAAAGAATATAGCACAGGAACTGAGTCTGAACAAGCAAGAACTCATTTTATTTTTCTACTGAATTTGAAGATATTAATACAAAATATGAGTCAATAAGAGTACCAATACTGAATGAAAGAAGCTAAATGTCTATGGTTCATAAATCAACACAGGTTTAATCCAAGGTCCTATACTCACCCATCCCTTCATGTGTTTAGGCAACTCACTTCTAAGTTAGCTCTGATAGATTTGACATGTACCTCAATTTCTTCCCTACACAATGTGGCAATGTTTTTTTTTTATGCAGATATTTGGGTTGGAAAATTGCAAGGATCAACTCAAGGATTAGTTTTTTTTAAATATTACTGAATTATCAATTCAAGTATTTCATTTTTATACAAGACTTACAATTTTCTGTCACCTACAGTTTGACACCTTCTTGTATAGAATACTATAACCCTCTCAGCACAGAAAGACAGTAAACTACTACATTAATTCAACTGCATATTGCTGCCTTTACCTAAGTAATATTTTATAATCAGTTACACTGATTATCCAACTACACTGACTAAAAAGTCAGTAATTGACCTTTTCTATTACAACCTTCTATATTAATTATCATAGTATTTGTGCATATATATATACACACACCACTTTACTGATAGCTTAATAAAACAGAGTTTTTATTACTCAGTCTTTCATAAGATTTCAGGAAACCAATACTGTTCTGCTGTATTTAAAGTTATTAACTGACAACCAACACACGTCTTGAAATTATTCTTGTGTAGTATCCTTCCCTTGAACTTACTGTGCTAAGACACTCACTCATGGCAACATCTACTGTAAAGACAGTAGTATTCCCTCTAATACTAGAAAAAAAAAATCCAATCAAGATCAGGGCCCTACAACAACAACAACAATGAAAAAAAAAAAAAAAAGGAAAAGCACTGTACTAAGACCAAGAATGGTTTAAATAGACAAAGTAGTTCCAAGTGATTTCAAATGCCTTATAAAGGTGCTTCCCTAAGACCTATCAAGTGCTGTAAATCAGTATAAAATTCTGGGAAAAACAATAAAAGTTAACTTTACCAGAAACGGCCATAGTATCGCTTATCCATGCAATTGAAAATATCCAGTCCTTATGTCCACCCTAAAAGTAAAGAAAAAGACAGATTTTCTGTGCCATTATATTCTTCAGTGGTCTCAAGGCAGACCAAAAAAAAAAATCAAAGTGAAGAATACTTAAGTTTAAACTCAGAAGGAGAGAACTATGTTAAAAACATATAAATAAGTTTCCAGTATCAAGCTGGAGTAGTTTAAGTACCTAACAGTAACTTTAACTTTTATTGATTTTGACCTGTATAATTATTAGAGAGCAATTAGGTGATAGAAAAAGATCTCTGATCAAGGACAAATTAATCTCAATTCTAAAGACTTGGATTTTTTCCATTTTGAAAGCAGTGTTCTTTACTTCTATAAAGTAGCTACATACTTTTATTTCCTCAAATGCACATCCCTACTATAAAAAGGAACCAAAACATTATGATTACAATATACGACCTACAGATTAATTTTTCAGGAATCTTTTACTCAGCAGGTGAGAAACCTATGGAGAAAAAAAAGACCATAAAGCTCTAGTTTTGTTTGAAAAGTTGCAGAGTCACAGTGGCACACAAATGAATAGCAAGTCATGCAAATCTTCAGAGTCAAACCTTTCTGCAGCTGGTTATCTCCTACTGCAGAAACTCTGACAACTCTGCTGTTGTAGTTAACATCTATGCAAAGTCCTGAATCAAAAGGAAAAATAACAGAGAAGTGCTTACAGGACACCACTATACTCATTTCAGCCTTTTTTCTTTTTAAGACTGGTTGTTTTAAAAAGGTCTCACAATGTTTCAGAAATAAAAACAATACCAGAGTCTATCAAACTGCCATGAACCACTGGGTTAGAACTAATCCTCAAATCCAAGTTCTGCCTCTGAAATAATACATATATAAGCTACAATGGAGAAAGGAAAACCTTGAATCATCTTTACAATTTCTCAAAAGACCTTTTTCACTAAAACTAGTTTCAGAGATCATCATCACCACAATTTGACTTTAACAGTTAAGATCTTGTTACATTTTCAATGCTTAATCTGAAGTAGACCTGAATGAGGGTAAGGAAGAAGAAATCTGACTCAGAACCCTGAGAATCGACTCATGTTTATGTACTCACTCATATTTAAGATATCTTGTCAAAAAAGACAACTTGATCAGGAATATTTTCAAATGTATTTCAAATGTATGTACTTCAAAGTAGTAACTCTTGGGACAGAATAAACTTTTCCCAAATACTCCCACTTACATCTCCCACACACAGAGGATCAAGTGTAGGTAGACGATAAATTGCAAGACTGTTGGGGTTGTCTCCACCTGTGGCCAGAAGGGTCCTTGAGGGGTTGAGTTCAATGGCATGAATGCCACATCCCTGCTGGTTCACCATGCCAGGTTCACGATCTTTAAGAATAGGAATCTTGGTAATTTGAGCAGTCTGGACATCTATTACAAATAACTGGGGGGGGAGGAAAAGCAGATACAAATCATTATCAAACAGATAAGAAAACCGAGATGGTCAAATATCCTCCCTATTTTGTACCAACATTCTTTTAAATATAAAATCCACAAATGCTGCAAGTATGGTTGAAAAATGCATACATTCCTTCCTAAAACAACTAAACTAACTTAATTACAGTGGGTTTTACTTTAATCACTGTCATAGTTCGTATTTTTAGCAAGGAATTTTTCTTTCCTTTCCTCCTGCCGTGTGTGTCTGTGCTCTGTGATGGGCCATTTAGTTGAACAAAAGAATAGGCTGGAGCCCTTAATGGTGGAGATTTGTTTCCTTGACAACGAAGGGGGGAGTTGGCTGGTGTGTGACTGGAAGGGGGTGGAGGCTGGGGGGGAGGAGACTCTCTCTCGCTCGGCCACGGTGAGAGGCTGCTGCGGGCTGCAGACACTGCCGGGTTCCTTTTGGTTTTTTTTTTTTTTCCTGTCGGAGGGGAGTTTCTGGCTGCTGCTCTTGGCTCACCTCTGGCTGACTGCAAGCCCTGCTTACAACAGACCCTAATCAGCTGAAGTTTGTGAGTTTTCTTCCATTGGGAGAACTTTCTGTTTTATTGCTGTTGTCTTCCCCCGTGGCAGCCAAGGATCCAACAGCGCCACCTGGTGACGGGCACTGGACATTACAAGTTCTACTCCTTCAGTGATCCAACAGCGTCACCTGGTGACTATAATAGGACACTACAAGTTTTTTTACACCTTCAGTGACCCAACAGCGCCACCTGGTGAATGGTACAGGACATTACAAATTTTGCATCTCCAGTGACCCGACGGCGCCCCCTGCTGACTGTGGTTGGAACAGCACCAAAGGGTGCAAGAAATTGAACTATTTTCTTTTTGCCGGTTTATCGGTTTTGTTCTTAAAGGGAATTATTGGTGGGTATAAGAGTATTACTTAGTTATTTTACTTGGTTTTTTTTTTTCCATGTTCCTGTTAATACACACATACCTTTTAATAAAGGGCTGTTATTTTCCCTTTTCCATAATTTGTTTTCCTTCAATCGGAGCCTCTTAATTTTGGATTTATAATTGTTTGGAAAGAGAAGTTTGGGTCTTTTCCTCCTAATTCATCCTCAGCAAAAGACCCTTGTCTCATTTAAACTGGGACAATCACCCATCCTGGTTTTGGCTAGGATAGAGTTAACTTCCTTCTTAGTAGATGTTACAATGCTGCATTTTGGATTTAGTACAAGAATAATGTTGATAACACAGTGATGTTTTAGTTGTTGCTTGGTAGTGCTTACACTAAATCAAGGATTTCTCAGTTTTCCATTCTTTGTCAGTGAGCAGGTGCACAAGATGCTGTGAGGGAGCATAGCCAAAACAGTTGACCTGAACTGGCCAAAGGGATATTCCATACAATATAACATGTTCAGTATATACAGTGGGGGATGTTGGCTGGGACCTGCCAATCACTGCCAGGGGACAGGCATCGGTCAGTGGGTGGTGAGCAATTGCATTGTGCATCACTTGTTTCTCTTGGATTTAATTTCTCTTTTTCTTCTTATTATTATAACAATATTTTATGTTATTTAAATTACAAAACTTTTATCTCAACCCACAGGTTTTGCGGTTTTTTTCCAATTCTCCTCCCCATCTGTGAGGGACTGAAAAAGGTTATTAAAGTTATTATTGTCTTGAAACCACTCAGTGTGTGAGGGGAGGGGACAGATCAGGTTCTGCCAAGGTGGAATGGTGCTCTACCCCCCCATAACCCGGCCTCCTTGAGAGCCTCTAGTGCAGCTGTCAGTCACTGGCACACTGGGAGCAGCACTGTCCCACATCACACCCCCTGAAACTCCTAACCCAGCCTCAGAATGGCTAGCACACTGGAAGTGCAACCTGGAGGGGGTTGTGGTGGTGTGGCCACAGGAGTTCAGAGCAAACAAAACCAACACCATGTGGCTACTGCACAGTCAGGACCTGACTGTCTGGACATGTGGAAGCTGGAATTGCATGGGAATCAAGGTGGTCGCTATAATTCTCTCTTTTTCTCTTAATCTCCTGATATTTGGGTAACAAAGCTGGAGGGGTTGGATTTTGCTAAGTTGTATGGGTTAGCATGTGCTAAGTCATTGCTTTGTGAAATGATTTATTTTGGTTGAATGTTGCCCTTTAAACTTTTGCCAAGTTCCCTTATTTTCTAAAGTTTGCCAGTAAAAGTGTGTCATTTGACCTCCTGAGAAGCGTGTAGCTTTTTCTCTTGTGTGCTCTCTCAAGGTATAAAAAGAACTGAAGGGCCTTTAATAAATCCTTCGGGCGGATTTTTGGAGCCTTGTATATTTTTAATGTAAAACCCCTTCAATGAGCTTGTTGATTTATTTGCTCTCACAGTTGTTGCACTTGTTCTCAGAGTTGCATTGTGTGGCAACAAGCTGAGTCGCTGTGCACCTGAATTTAGTTAATTGGGATCAAAAGGGAGGACTGACCTTGGCTGTGTGTTTTGACAGAGAGAATGCTGTGTTTCTCAAAGTGGAAAACCACTTAACAGTCTGCATGATAGCGTGTGTTTCTGCTCATGGCTGAACACAGCCACCACATGATGCAAGTGTGAATGCGTGAGATCAAAACACTGGTTTAGGGCAATCCTGGGAATTCTGGTTAACTAAAAGACAACACCAGGTGCTGTTTACGAGAGAATAGGAATAAAAGCAGAACTCTGAAAAAGATCGGTGAAGAAATCCCAAAATCAACTTCTGTCGGTGCGTGCAGCCTCATCCTTTCAGCGCCCATAGCATTGTGTGACACTTTACTTGCAGCATGTGTTCCCTGGGTGGTGTTTATCTATCATCCTTGAGGCCTGGGCCAAGGTTATCATTTTGTTGTACTTTGTAATGCTAGCCTATGATATGATAGAACTGCTGTTTGTGAAACCAACCTGGTACGTGTACTCAGCATTGCCATCGTATCTGTACTTTGTGAGCCATCTATTGGGAACTATTAACAGTTACATTTTTTGCCTTTTCTCCTCAGATAGCCAACCTATGGGGGTCACATCTTTCAACATACATCCATCCAACAACTTCCTTCTCCTCCAGGATGATTACAGTAGTGTTTGAGAATGTTAAAGATTTTGAATATCCTTTGAATACCCTTGAAATCAACCTGGTCCTTTTGCTAGGAGCCAGCATGTTCTTGCATATAGTTCAGGTCTTGTTTAAGGTTAAACAACTATTTAAGAACATCACCCAGACACGTGCCTCAAGGCTGAATAGTTCTGAGTGTCAGGGTGTGTGGGAATAGTATGGGCAAGTACCTAGGGCAGTGGGCACCTCCAGTGTTTTGGAACCTGTGGTAGTTTTAATCTAGGCCTTCCTTGGTGACCAGTTTGTAACCAAGGAAGTGGCCATGTTCCCAGTATTCCATACAATTTTTACGTAAATCAGAGTATAAATAAGAAGGGAGGAGAGGCCTTTGTTCTCTTCCAGGGAGGTTCGGGAGCAGTGGGTCCTTGCGTTGATCTCGCTTATTTAGAGGCTGAGGCCTGCAGTGACTGCTGGTCTACCACGTGGAGATTTGGAGAATGCTGGCCATGTCTGGTGATCTTGCTTTTCTGAGGGACGTGGTGAGATTTGTTTTGCTAGTTCTTTATTTTGCTAGTCCTTGGGTCTGATTGTGTATATCTGTTCTGTGTCCCTTTTTGTCCCTTTTTTCCCCTTTTCCTTTGGGGGGTGTTTGGATTCCGTTCACTGTGTACATAGCATTTTAATTGTATATAACTGTAATATATGTAAAGATATATATTTTTATATAACTAGTTTGATTTCAGGTTCTTCAATTTTTATAGCTTTTTTTCCTTTGCCCTAAGGGAAGAAGGGAGGGGGAAGGGGTTGTTACTGTGAATTCGGGCATTTGGCAGGAAGCCAGGTCTGAACCATCACAGATTTTTTGGTGGCCTGTATGGGGATTGTTTTGGTTATCCCGATTTGTTTTGGAACAGTTACCAGGAAAACTGCCAAGAGAGGTTTGTTTATATAAACATACTTATTGTTTGGGAACAAAGAGAACGAATATATAAACATGGCCTTTTTATTAATTTTTTTGGTCATCCTAGCCATTTTTTTATATGTCTATGGATTGGGAATAGGGTATAAGAAGGAAACCAGAAGGCATCTACCAATTTCTACCTTTCCTTACTTATGACCTCAACGGTCTAGTAGCAGAGGGCCCTTGGATTGGAATTGACCCCAATCCTGACATAAATGGTTTAGCAACGGTGCTATTATTGATAAAGGCCATGGAAGTGTTATTAAAAATTGGAAAGGTAGTGTGGTACTGCTTTCCTTGTTGCAGGAAAGGCTGAACCTCAAAAGAATTAGCTGGAACTTTGGGAAGGGCCCTGAAAAAGCCAGTCTCTGGATGACAAGGAATGTGGGTGAATTTTGACAAATTGGTAGGATGTGTGACACCTCCCGTTAGTTGGGACTTCATGCCAGAACAAGTGTTTGATCCTGACGAGATGGCACGTCGTTTAGCGGAAGGGTGTTTTTCTTATGAGGACCCAAATATGCAGTTTTTTGCTTTATACTGGGGCCTGGCAAGTGCTTATCAAGTTGCCATTGACTACTCTCGGAAGGCTAAGGCTGAGGTAGAAACTCAGATCATGCCACCTGGGACCAGTGCCGCCTCTACTACACCCACTGGAAGCGGAACTCAAACTACACCACCTGAGATACCCCTAGCCTCTGTAGTGACAAGGAAGAGATGGATATCGATGCCCAACAGCATTAGTCTATGACCAATGGGAGCTCAAAGCAAGTCGGATGATAGCGGGGAAGGGCCTGATACTGATACCAGTGCCAGTAGTCAACAAAAACAAAACCCCTCGAGAATGGAAAGTGAAGTTTTGCAATCAATGACCCCAGCAGAACTCCGAGACTTGTGAAAAGATTACACTCGTCAGCCTGGTGAACGAATTCTATCGTGGCTGCTTTGATGCCAAGATGGTGGGGC